CAAGCAAAATCGTAAAATTGTAGTAGAATTCAGATAATTACGATAACTTTTCAGACTTTTACTGTTGCTAAAAAATATATATATATATATATATATATTCCACGCATTTTTCTAAAATCGTTCCTTGGATATATAAATAAAAATCTGCTCTCGAGATGAAGTACTTTGCATAGTCAAGGTTCAACACTAATGCGATCATCGCTAAAAAGCACTTGATCGCCGTGTATACTCACCGATATCGACAACCGTTTCAGTTTCACGCGTCGAACCGATCCTTTCGCCAGCCTCGCAGCACGTTGAGAACCTCTGGGTGCAATCTTGTACCAACTGGGGTTTGCGGGGTCTTGGGAGACGCGACTCCGGTTCGTAACCTCCTCTCTCGGGGTCCTGGCTACGACGAGGGTGGAGTGAGGAATAGGGAAACAGACAGCGTGGGTTGGTTGAGGTGGAATACCGGTAGGGTGAGTAGTAAGGAGACTACTTGCCGTAGTAGAGGCAGGCAGAAAGGAAGGAGGAAGGAGGAAGGAAGGGCACAGAGCTTGGGAGGATGAGAGAGAGGCAGTCGGTGGCTTGGGATATATCCGTAAGGTTGGAGGCTGTTACGGTGGTATGGGTGACGGTAGTTGGGTTGAGACGAGGCGCCGTGGTGAAGGAGTCGCTCACTTACTTACCACCCTCATAGCTCCGACCACCAACCCCAATACCACGCACACCACCGAGCTCTTCCTCTTTCCCTTCTCCTCCCTCCACACTCACTCACTCTCTCTCTCTGTTCGTTCTTCTCGCAGCAACTGCCACCACATCGTCCCTGTCTCTCTGGTTCCACCTTCTCGATGGTTGGCTGCTGCTGCTTCTGCTGTTGGCTGCTGCTTGCCAAGTTGCCTGCCGGCAGACCAAGTCGTCCCTAACACTACAAAGTCTATATATCTACGGTGTACCCAACGGCCCTCTCCCCCTGCCGTCTTTCTACCTCTCACTCCTTTTCAGGCCACCCCTTTGAGAGGTACGCGGACCCCCATATTGATCGTGGCGCGAACCCTCTTTACTGGAAAGGCTGCTGCCGCCGGTACGATCCCGACGGGCTAGGTGTAAGTAAACTTACGCGAATGAAGGTTGGACTGCCAACTCTCCGTGTACACACGTACACGGAGATCTCGCTCCGCTGGAATACTGTGTACTCGCACGGCGTGCGACCGTGCTATATGTGGCGAGAGAGGTGAGAAATAGCAGCGGGATAGAGAGAAAGTTTCTCTTTCGTGACAGAGCATCAAGTGCTTTCGCTATTTCAATGGTGAGAAGGAAAACGATGCGTTTGCACCGCGAGGTAGATAAGGCCGCTGAATACACCGTCGGGAATCGAACGTATTGTGCGAGGGAAAAAGTGCCTCCGCGCACGTACACGCGCGATGTGTCTCTTCTGGTGTAAGGCCGAACCCTTGCAGCGGCTCGAACAAGCAGAAAGAAAGAAAGAAAAAACGCGCGCGAAATATAAATAACGAAGAGGGTCGAAACAACTGTCGCAACACGTGTTACGTCAGACCATATATATACATAACGTATGATATATCTCGGTGTCCGAACGTATATCGGGAGTAGAGAGAAAGAGAGAGGCCTAGAAGCGAGCATAAACGAAAGGAGGCCAAGAGCGAGCATAAAAATTCCATGACACGTGGAAACTTTGGCAGCAACGATTCGTCCGGGGGGTTCGTTTTATCCGCGCGAGGCCTGTTACTCTCGATCCTACGAAACTTATCTCGCGCTAACCATCTCCGTTCCGAGAGATATCCAGACATAAATCCAACATCTTCGAGATTTCTCGCATTTTTATGATAATGCCTCCGCGCCTCTCTCTTTCTCTCTCTCTTTGCTGTATTCTCCTCGCGATATCTCTTTGTTCCGTCTCCCCTCGGAGAAGAGAGAAAGAGAGAGTCAGAGAGCACGGTCTCGGGGATCGTTCTCGGAAATATCCACGGAGTCGTAGCCTTCCTCTCTTCTTCCGCGGCCTTCTTCGTATGTTTTCTTTTTACCGTCGATTTATCCAGGAAAAGGAGCGCGCCAAGAGACGTATGTATATATATATATATATATATATACACACACACTCGCGCTGTCTCTCGGCCGAAGGGCTTTCCTTTCCAGGAACGCGACAGTTGTAACTGGACCGGCTCTCGTGGCTCCGCGCCGGATAAATAGTGACTGGCCATTACGCGGGTAACGAGAAGGAGAGCCAGAGGTATCTCGTTTTCTCCCACGAGAGTGGAAACGGATAGCCTACTACAGCCGTTCCAGAAAAGTCGAGCGAGAAGCACATAATACGACTCCCCCGGGGATTCCTTCCTTTGAGAAGTCGTTCTCAACGCGGTCGTGTGCGTGTTTTCTTGCATCTCTCCAGGGAATGTACTCCCTTTCGCATGCCCACACCACCCCCGGGGCCCCTTCGCTCCCTTTTTATCGAGTGAACCGACTAGTCTCTTCGACGAGCAGGCCTTCGTCAAGGTGAATTTTTCGATGTCGACCCGATTGTCTTCGCCGTGTGCCACAGACACGCCTTTTATTCCTCCTCTCGATATGTATTATCGCCCACGGAAACGCCTCTCGTATCTGCCTCGCAGTTTTCCTTCCGACCTCGTTGTTGGAATTTTGATGAATTCGTGGAATTCACGAGCATACGAGTCGTCGTATTACTTTTAATACCAGATTTAGCAATCTTGAACATCGTAGATCTCCTGTCTGTCAAATACACGATTCAAAACTTTATCAGTTTCCGACAGTGGAGAACGTGAAACTCTAATACTAAACTGTTTAACCAATTAGAAACGTTAAATCTTCTGAGAAGAACAAATGATAAAAATCCCACATTGATCAAATTTAATTATCTCTATCCCACCATTAACCTTCGCGTACTGTTTTGCAATATTTTATTAATTATAAGCCTATCGTAAGAAGTGAAACACCATTTTACGCAGCAGTAACAATCTATGAATAATTATCGTAGCCTGTCGAAATTCAATTACCTTCCTACCTCTTGATAACTTCGTCGTTTCCCTTGATAAAATCCAACTTCGAAAAAGAACCGGCCATCTAGTGGTTTCCTAAATCACCACGGACTGAGATCTCTCCCTATGTATTTCATTTCCTTTTGAGCAACGCGCGCGCGACGAGTCCTCTAGACGCGCGCGACTCGCTCGCAAGGGATGATACCAGCACAGGAGCGTCTGGGTAATGGACCGAGCCGGAGGTGGCAGTGGATGAGAGACGAAGGGTAATTGAGAAGAGGAGATTTACTTCGGGGTCGAGAGAGGCCGCGAGAGAGGGTAGTTTACGGTGTTGCTGCCACGGATAGGGACAGGGAAGTTATCAGGGGGCAGGAAAAAGGCTCACGGTCGCTTAGGTGGATGAAGAGGGACGGTTGAAGAGAGACGTCGTCGCATCGAACGACAAAACTGTCGCTCGTAAAACTTCCTGTCGATAATATCTTCGACGCCTTTCGGGACACCCTCCGCTATCTCTCGGTAGGCATTGGCGTCTCCGTTTTCCAGAGACATTTTCGCGCACCCTCCACTACTACGCTGTTATCGTGTCTCTATTCTGCGCGGGAGGGGTGGGGAGGAGGGAGGGAACAGAAAATCGAACAGAGGGAGAAGATAGGTCTGAGAATTAATAGGCCGGCGATAGTGGAAACAGGGAGAAGCGTGAATTTATCTAAATCGCGTTCTTTACTCGACTACTTATCGGTAAAGTGGGTAGTTGAAACTTGGGACGAAGGATGTTACCACGAGGATCATTTTCTTGGATATTTCAAGAGCTGTTTTTAAAGATTGAATAAATTTTTTTTTTTT